GGAAACATGCAGTGCCCTCACTCTGGTGGCCACCTGCCGGCGGCGGGCAGCAGTCAGCCGTGCGAGCGCTGTCGGAGGAGACGGTGGTGTCGGTGGGTCTGAGCCCGCCGCTCCAGGAGGTGCTGCGGCTCCCAGCCTGTGTCCGCCACAGACGCTCAGATCCTCTGCAGGGGATCGAGAGACTCGGTGATCATCACAAGGACGGGTAAGTGGTTCATGATTTGAGACATTCCTCTCTGCCGGTCACATTCAACCAAGGGTATGTCTCTATGTGGTTTACACAGGACATTTGTATTTAGTGTTTATTGGTGCATAGATAAACACAGTAAGAAGGAATCAGGCTCTAAAAGAAGGAGAAATGTATGGACTATTTTGAAAGCCTATTATCTCTGAATAGATTTACAAAAAACATAAGTGCTAAATACTATTAAAGAATATATATGTGCATTATCATCTGAGTTTATGTGTGTATCTGAATTTAGCGTGTGGAAGAAGCGGTGCAATATTTCTGGTAATAGAGGTGTTTGTCACTATGTGTTTCTATTTTCGTCGTTAAAAGCTGCATTTTGAAATACCTTGCATCGATCCTCCTATGGTGTTGAAAACGCAAAAGTAAATATTGTTCATAAAAATACTATAATCTAAGAGAATAACGGATGATCCTTAGCCTATTTGCCTAACTTCTATCTGCAGTCCCTCCCCTGGGGCAAGATACACAACTAACAAATGAACGTAACAGTGACAACTTAAAAACAGTTTTTACCTTAAAATTGTAACCGCAACTGATTCGAAATACAAATAAAGTACTACATTACGAATGTACCAGTTCATGCAACTAATGCACAATGTTGTAGTCAAGGCATGACTGCTTTGCTCAATAGCATTTTGTAGCAGCATGGGAATAAAGAAACGAAAGTCTGTGCTTGTTTAAAAGGTCAGTAGAAGCAATTCCAATGCTTGATTGTTGTAAATGAGAAAGGCAGATTGTGCAAAGTCATTCGTCAGGGTGCTTTAAGGATTTGTTATCAACCTTTTTATGAAAAACCTCCTTGGTTTCAAGCACAGTCTCCTTGAGACCAGCAAGGTTACTGCTAACACTGAAGAGTTTAGAGATCATAGCGGCAACAATGTTCTTAGGTGCTTCTATAGTTTAGAATTGTTTATTGTGAGAATATGTTCTCCCCTTCCTCTCCAGGAAATCGCTCTGAGCGGAGGCTGCGTGGGGCGCCTGGTGCTGGCAGACGTGTGGGGCTACAAGGAGCTGCGCGCACTTTGAGAAGGAACGGCTTGGAAGCAGACTGACTTCATGGTCAACCGTCAAACCCCCCAGCAACAACACCCAGGGCCAACACGGAGGATACGAGGACAGGCACCCTGCCGCTATAGACAACAGGTCAGGAAGCGAGGGAAGCAAGTGGTTTGATGTCTATCAGTAAATGGATTGTTTGTTGAGACAGAATCTTGCCTGTGTCTCCTACATTGTTTCTCTAAGAGCCCATTCAGACACCCGTTTTTAAAATAGACCTTTCCAACTGGTATTCTTTCAAGCTTTTAGCTTGATCGTAATTGTGATGACTTGTCTGGATAGTGAAGCTGGCTTGATGTTGTCCTTCTGGAGTCAAAATATAACAATTAACAGAGGAAATAGGCCTTTTAAGAGGTAAAACCAATCAAAAAGCAAAGAAGAAAACTCAAACAAGAGGATTCAATTGTCTTTTTTTCTATTAAATATATTTTAATCACAAATAATTCAACTTATAAGAACTTTCTCGTGCTTTCACGCTGCCGTAGAGCTCACCTTTCAGACCTGGCGGCCCATGTATTGGGGCTCAGTTACTGTGCGGAGAACCCAGGTTTGAATCCGGCCTGCAACCGTTTACACATTGCATTCTCTCGGTCTCCCCTTTCAACACTGTCACTGTCCAATAAAGGCTAATCCGGCCTAAATATAGACCCTCCAGAAAAACGCGGGCAAAAATCCTTGATTATGCTGGCTAAAATCATTGGTTATGCGATTAAACATGCGGGGGTTTTATGTGACTTTATGCGGTGAAATTGCGGGAAGTTGC